CACATCAATTGGTTGCCTCCCACACAAGCCTAGACCAGGGCTGGGGAACGAGCCTGCAACTGAGGTACATTAACCAGAATCGAATCCGGGACCCTTCAGTCCACAGGCTGATGCTCTATCCATTGAGTCAAACTGGCTAGAGCCCCAAGTATCTATAGAGTCGTCCTCCCTCGCTGGTCCTGTTCCTCTGGGGGAAGTGCCTGGGTCTCCTGCACAGAGGAAAGGCTGGCAAGTAGCCTGGGCAGGGAGGACGGGAACGGCTGGGACAGGTCTGGGGAAAGGGCAAGTTTCAAAGAGCTGAGAATGTGGTCAGGCCACCAGACCCTGAGCTCAACTCTGGGAAGTCTGTGTTTTAATACCCCAAGTATCTTTTTTTTTTCCTTTTAAAATCTCAAGTGCTCCACAGAATAACAGTTTTGTTGTTGTTGTTAATCCTCGCCAAAAGATATTTTTCCATTGATTTTTAGAGGGAGTGGAAGGGAGGGAGAGAGACAGAGAGAGAGAAACATCGATGGGAGAGATGCACATCAATTGGTTGCCTCCCACACGAGCCTAGACCAGGGCCAGGGATCGAGCCTGCAACTGAGGTACATTGACCAGAATCGAACCCAGGACCCTTCAGTCCACAGGCTGATGCTCTATCCACGGAGTCCACTGAATCAAACCGGCTAGAGCCCCAAGTATCTATGGAGTCGTCCTCCCTCGCTGGTCCCGTTCCCCTGGGGGAAGTGCCTGGGTCTCCTACACGGAGGAAAGGCTGGCGAGGAGCCTGGGCAGGGAGGACGGGAACTGCTGGGACAGGTCTGGGGAAAGGGCAAGTTTCAGGATTCAGCACCTACAGTGACCTTTATCTTCCTGCTAGGAATACAGGCCCCACACCCCCAGGGTGCCGTCAGTCCCCAGGCCCAAGACCATCGGCCTTTCCCACTCAGAGAGCAAACCTCCTGCCTCCCATTGGAGTAGAACCGGGCAGCCCCCAACCACAAGGAGCCGGAGAAGGGGGGCAGCTCCGGGGGCGCTCAGCCCAGTTGGTTCTGCTGAGCCAGTTCCCCCTTTTGCCCACCTGCTTCCCATCCTCCCAAACGTTGCTGGTCTCCCCTCCTGCTCTCCCAGGCTTAATGGGCTGCTCTCTCTTCCTTGTGAAATCTCTTTGCTGTCGTTTGGGGGGACTCTGACAGGAGCAGAATCGAAAACGATATTCCGTCCACTCTCTTAAACCAGCCAAAGGAGCCGCGGCCTGCCAGGAATGGGGTTAGAGGTTCACCACCCAGATGTGCGTCCAGAGACCATCACCAGCATCTTGGGAGGCTGGGGCTGAGTGGGTTCAGGGGGCCGAGAGTGTGGTGAGAAGCTGATTGACTACAAGGAACATGGCCAGCACGCCCTGTCTATTATGAGGCAAGTCAGCAGTCAGGGGGAAAAAATTCCATTTAATGGATGAGGAAACTGAGGCCCAGCCAGGCAAAGGGGGTGGCCCAGCACATCGCGGGGCCTGGGGCACTTTCCATCACACCAGAATGTAGGGCAGTAATGGCGAACCTATGACACGCGTGTCAGAGGTGACAAGAGAGCTCATTTTTTTGGTTGATTTTTCTTTGTTAAACGTTCTTCTGGGCCAGGGGAACAAAAAGAGAAATGGCTCTCCCTTCCAGGATCATGCCCGCGCCCCGCCCCCTCTACTTCCCCCAGGCGGTACCTTTGCCTTTCCCTCTCCAAGGCTCCAAGGCCGCTCTTCTGCCTCCATAACGTGTTTCCTGAGCCCACGCAGCCCCGCTGGCTCACTTCTGCTACCTCTGTAACTTTCTAAATAAACTTCCTCTTATAACTTGAAAAACAAAAAGAAAAAT